TGTTGACGACATTCCCATCTTCCCCTCCTCTTCGTCTAACCCCCTTCTTCTTCGTCTGTGTATGGTTGGGGCTGGCGCAGTCTTCCTATGTGAAGCGCCAGACCCCTTTCACACCATGGAATGATGATGATGATGTATGTTCAGGGCTGCATTGCAATATTGATTGTTCGGATCATTGGTATCTAAGTCTTCTGCTACGCTATCTTGTACTTTGTATTGAGAGGTCGGTTCTTGTTCTGGTCTGCACCGTTTCAGTATGCAACAGTTTGGTATCGGAGCGGACCTCTCATTCAGAGGACCCGCTCAATCAAGTAGCCAGCTTGCTTGGTCTATTGATTACTCATTAGTAAATCAAGGACTTCGTCAAATCTCTGAACTTTTTTTTTTTCTCGCAACAACTATCTGAAAATTTCTGATATTCGCATTTCGTTTTACCCGAAAATTTCTGATATTGGTATTTCGTTTTCACGTAACAAATATCTGAAATTTTCTGATAAATCGCATTTCGTTTTGTCTGAAAATTCCTGTTAGTAGCATTTCGTTTCTCTGATATTTCGCATACATAGCTAAAAATTTCTGATGTTAGTATTTCGTTCCCTAGGCATATTGGGATAATGATAGAAGTGCCATATTCTCAGAAACGGGATTTAGTTCTTTTCTGAAAATCGCATCTCTATTCTATCTCGCAAATTTTTTTTCTTTCAAGATCGCATTTTGCGAAAGCCGAAACTTTGCGGAACCTAGCCTAGAGCTCGTTCATAGTACTCTTCTGACATGTCTCACTCATAAGAGATCGACAAATATACAACCAAAAAAAAAAAAAAGGAAGTAGTCCTCTTTTATTTTTTATTTTATTTTATCTGTTGATTAGGGCCGGGAGGAAAGTATTGTTGGGTTCTCCCTACCTGCGTTTTCCCTCCCCACCCACCCTTTGCATGCATTTCCGGGTTGGTACAGTGCCACGTCAGCAGTGCCACGTTAGCAACAGTGCCACGTCAGTAGTGCCACGTCAGCAGTGACATCAGCAGTGCCACGTTAGCAACAGTGCCACGACAGCAGTGCCACGTCAGCAGTAACAGTGCCACGTCACAGTGCCACGTCAGCAATGCCCCGCCACCATGACGGGCGCAGCTCTGGGCATGCCAGGCCAACTGGCCAACGAGTCTATTGCCGACTACAAACAGCGGTTCCAGACTCAACTCGCACTAATCGAGGCTGAGGAACAACGCCAGCTGGCAGCCGAGGCTGCCCGCCTACAGGCTGAAGCAGCGGCAACAGCTGAGAAGCAGCGGCTACAGGCCGAAGCAGACGCAGAGACCCAGGCACGCCGCAAGGAGGCCCAGGATCTTCTGCAGCGGCATGAAGCCGCCAACATCGAAAGACTCAAGTTCTGGCACTTTCAACTGTCCAACGGCGACGACGCGACACCGGAGGAGCAGCACAAGGAGTTCCTCTCCAAACTCGTGACACGGTTGTTATACGCTTGCAACTATCAACAGTCCGAGTTAGAGAGACAGAACCAGGAACTGCAGCAACAGTACCAGGATCTGAAGAAACAGCACCAGGAGTTGGCGAACCTCCGCCGGACAGTGCAGAGCCATGAGGATGCTACACGGGCACTCAATTCCCGTGTACTGGACCTGGAGCAAGCTGTACCAGGACCAGATGCTGGTGTGTCCAGCAGTGCACCCTCTAACCGCCAACTGGAGGAACGCGTCGACCACGCCGTCGCAATGCTCGGCGACATCAGGACCTTCGCTGAGCCGACCACCATCAGCAATCAGTTGGATACCTTGAAGACCGAAGTCCAGCAACTGCAGTTGCCTAACAAGAATGGCAACAACACACAACATTACAAGATGCCAACTTGCCATGCAGGCATTTCAACTAGCTTCTGAAATGCGAATAAATTGGCAAAAAACGACGGGATGGTGTCTAACGGACGGAAGCGTTGACCTCCCTCAAAACACTCGAGAAGGCATGAAATGGTCCGACGCGAAAGACCCGTTAAGAGTCCTAGGAATCCAGATGACAGAACACGGAGCAGAGACAGAAATGTCCCCTATCCTCCTAGCCAAGATGACAAACAAATTAAGCGACTGGGGCAAAATTCACCTCTCACTATATGGTAGAGCACTAATACTAAACTCGTCCATTTTCGCAATGATGTGGTACGTGGCAGCCTTCTGGGCACCAGATCACGGGACATTGAGAAACCTAAGAAGGAAAGCCACAACATATTTGTGGACAGGAGATGCTACCAGACAACACTTCATAACCAAAGTCGCTTGGCAGTATGTCACGAGGAAAAAGGAGCAAGGAGGACTGGGTGTACTAGACCCTAGACCCCACAACCCAAATAAAAGCTCTACAAACAAAATGGATCCTAAAGCTCATCACTAGACCTAGCTTACCATGGAGAACGTTAGCCCTAGATGGGATACAACAACTACCAATATATAACACCCCGGCTAACATGGAGGGTACCTTCTGGTTAATGAGCAAATCATGGTCAATGAAAGGGAGAAACCACAACACAATACACTCAAGAAACCAGTCCCGTTTGTGTTTCTGGAGAGGGATCCTCCGCGACTGGAGAGAGATATTCCCAGCTAAAGTCAGGAAACCGAGCAATAAGGAAGAAATACTAAGACAACCCCTATTCTGTAACCAATGGATAACCAAG